TTTTTCTTTTATTATGTACCTGTCTAAATATTTTTTAATATTTCTCCTAATAAAATGAAGGGCAAGATCGCCTAAGTGAAAAAAAAAAAAAAGGTAATTGCATATTGGTATTATAATTATTTGCTATTGGTTCTTCGATTATTATATTAGGATTATTACTATTAAAGCCATTTAGATGTTCTATATATAGTTTAGTTTGTTGTGAGGAAGTTTGTTGATCATCTGTCTCCTATTACTTATTTGGGGAGTCGTCTAAAGCGGGCAGAGTCACGTGCATATAACGGTGATTGGCCAAAATAAAAATGTGATGATTGGCTAGAATAAAAGCTATTTAAATCTATTTTTTAAACTTCAAGTGAAGTTATCTCAGTAGTTATCTAGTAGAATTTGACAAAAAAAATTTTATTTTAATGCTATGGACTAGTAGAATTAAAATAAAAAAAAATTCATCGAATTCTATTAAGTGGTTGCAGAGATATCTTCGTTCAAAGTTTTAAATGTCTAATTAGAAGCTGCGCTGAAATTATTTTTAACTCTAAACCAAGATATCTCGGTAACCACCTATTAGAATTCGATAAATTTTTTTTTATTTTAATTCTAATGATACATAGAATTGAAATAAAAATTTTTTTATTGAATTCTATTAGGTGATTACTAAGATATCATCGCTCAAAACTGTAAACGTCTAACTAAATCGAAGCTGCGCTGAGATTATTTTAAACTCTGAGCCAAGATATCTCGACAACCACCTAATAGAATTCGATGAATTTTTTTTTATTTAATTCTAATGATTCATTAGAATTAAAATAAAAAAAAATTCATTGAATTCTATTAGGTAATTACTAAGATACCGTCGCCCAAAATTTTACCCCAATTGAAGCTGTGCCGAAATTGTTTTAAACATTGAATCAAGATATCTCGGTAACTACCTAATAGGATTTGATGAAATTGGTTTTATTTAATTTAATGATTCATAGAAATAAAATAAAAAATTCTCATTGAATTTTATTAGATGATTACTGAGGTATCATCGCTCAAAATTTTAAATTTCTAACCCAATCGAAGCTGCGCCAAAATTATTTTAAATTTTGAACCATATCTTAGCAATCGCCTAATAGAATTCAATGAAAGTTTTTTATTTTAATTCTACGAATTCGTAGAATTAAAATAAGCAAGTTTTCATCGAATTCTATTAGGTAGTTACTGAGATATCTTCGTTCAAAGTTTTAAACGTCTAACAAAATAGAAACTGCGTCCAAACTATTTTAAACTTTGAAGAAAGTATCTCAGTAACCACCTGATAGAATTTAATGAAATTTAATTCTATGAAATTGTAAATTAAAATAAAATAAATTAGTTTTTATTAAATTTATTACGGTTACTAAAATTCAAATAAACTAATAGGTTATTTGGCTTAAATAATGCAAAGAATTTAAATACATGCAGATAAGTATTTTTTATTTATATTTATTTACAATTCTATATTTTATAAATTTTTTTATTTGTTCGATTTAATTTCTTCCATTTATTACCATGGCTTCACAAGACAGATTTGCCCATCCATTCACCCATCATTCATTCTGGCTGGCCCATAGGACCATTTCGCCCGCTCACCCACCCATCATTCATTGTTCTGGCCCGTAGGGCTACTTCGCTCACCCATATAGTATTAATATTCTATTTTTTTTTTTTTTGCTTGAATCCTTCATTACAGTTTAGGTTCATAGGACCACTTCGCCCACCCACCCGCCTAGCGAATAATTCTTTTAATTAATATTTAAATGATCGAATTGTGAAAAAAAAAGAATCTATGGAGGCTTCTAACATCGAAACAAAAGTCTCGGTCCTCTCAAAATTTCCACTTGTTACAGTACGCCAATATTTGTCGCGCACCCTTTCGTTTAGTTCGTTGACAGTAAGTTTCAAATTTTCTTCTTTTTTTTGTTGTTCAGTTTTTGATACTTCTTCAATCACTAATTCACGACGCTCATAAACTTCAAAACCACTCTCTTCAAACATCCCTTGAAATGTTTTCCATGTGTCAGCTGTTAGCAATCTTATAGCCCCATATGTGTGTTCATAGAAAATATGCCTATAAGGCAACAAGTAATGGTTGCGAAATAGGTAGTGACACTCTAGCGAAGTTAAACCTGGGGCATTTTTCCCTTTGTCGAGTCTATTCATAACAGCGCAGGCTTCCTTCACTAATAGTTGTTGAAAAGGGTAAGGAAACTTATGAATTTCCTCAACAACATCACTAGCCACACCATAAGCGGATATTTTTTTAATACGAAAATCGAATGTAGCGCTTTTAGAATCAGATCGTTTCTTATTATCAAGAGCGACAATATTATAAACTGCACCTAAATAAAAAAAAATAAGTAAAAAGTGAAAATTTTGGTCTCAAAAACTTTAGTAATAATATGTATAGCCAAGGTCTACAAAACTAAATTTTCGTCTTGCATAACCAACCAACCCAAATTTTTAAAAAATCTAACTCAAAAAATTCATAATTGTCACGGTTGAAGTTGGAAACGGCTATAACTGGAAATTAGATAGATTTAAAAATATAAATCCTGCTAAAATCTACTTGTACTCTTTTATTATCAAAGCTAACCTAATTTTTTATTATCAAAAAAAGGATTATTGAAATTTTATCTTAAAATTTTCAACTTCAACCGTGACAGATGTTACAAATTTTGCCGGAATTAAGTCAGAGTACCACGTTATACAAAACGAAAAATCAATTTTGTATAGTATAATAGACAAGTAAATTTTCATATACCTATTAATCCATGAAACGAGGATGTCGTTCTTTTCAATTCACTGTGATAGGATTCTAACGGGTTCGTAGAGGTAACTTACAGAAGCAAGGAAGAATGTTGGCGCACCCACAAGCCCCACTTTTGAGTATTTTTTTTGTAGTTCATTTCAATGTAATTCCGAATGGCAGGAACCTTGCTACAATTAATGGCATCTTGAATAAATTTTTCGCAACCTATTCTGGTTCTTTTATGCATCGCCATGATCATAATATCTCGGGGTTCTTTTTCATAGATTTTCGCTAACCAAACCCTTATTACATAGACAACGCAGAGGATTATTTCACATTCTTGTTCACCAGCATTTACTCTAGCAAACGCTTTTTTAATACCTTTTTCCTCAATACTACTTTGGTCCGCAAGTATATATTAAGGGGACCAGCTACAAAGCTTATTACGGATTATTTTTAACACCTCACTAATGGTGTCACTATTTTTAGTGCTAACAAAAAAGTGCGCACTGGCATCCCAGCAACCATAGGTATCACGAACATATAGGGTGAAAAGGCGCCAATCATATCTATTAGTGTTATGGGTGGAATCGATGAGCGTCAACTACCCATGGCGCTGAAGCTTTTTTAACTGCGCAGGATGCGCGAAGACCATACCCTTAGTGTTCTGTTGGGGAACACGAAAGTTCTCAACCTGATACCCTTGCTTTATTAAAAACGATACGAAATTCAAGTGATCCACCCTTAAACTAGAATCACCAACAAGATGAGCTTGCATCGGCCTACGTACTTTATTCTTAATATTGGATACTTCCTTTCTTTTCAATTCACGCACACTTGACCCAAGGCCCAACTTAATTGTTGCATATTCTTTGACAGCAGCAGTAATCACCGAAGGTGAATAATTTTTAACCGCTTCATGCTCAACAAGAGTCCGGATTGCTTGAGAACGTTTGATTCTATCGGCTTCCTCCAAGGAATGTGCATGGTTTGGTGAATTATTATAACGTTCGACTTTCACTTTACTTGATGAATACAACCAGGATATTTTTATTTTTGCTTCGCATAATCCTGATGGTCATATTTTCGTTATTCAGCGCTTTTCTATAGTAACATTTTCTTTCTGGTAGGTGCTTGAATCTCGATGCTTTTTGAAATGACAGGCAAAAACTTTTGAAATATCACCATTTGCACTTTTATATGTATTCCATCACGTCCAAACGTTAGAAACCAAAGGCTACCAAACGTCATTAAAGTCATCTATTAGAATTTCCAAAGAAATATTTATATCAAAAAGAAGGCCCTGTTTTTCATTTGGAGCAAGGTTCATTATCGATGCAGCTTCCGAAGAAGCAATACTAGGTAAGTTCATATTATTTGAGTTCACTCACAATTTATATGGAGATAAAATATATATAAATAAACTATATATATATGTAAAAAAAAAAAAAAAAAAAGATAACTAAATGATTCAAATGTCTTATTCGTTTTAAAAAGTATTATTAGAAAAAAAAATTCATCCTTTTGACGGCTAAAAAAACAGTTCTAAAGCATATTCACAACTATTTGTTTGAAAAAAAATATGTATAAAAAAAAAAAAAAAAAAAAAAACCGTATGAGGTCAAAAAAAAAAAAAAAACCAAATGAGGGCCAAAAAAAAAAAAAAAAGACCACCACAAAGAGGTCAGAATTTAAAGGCGAAAGAAGATTCAAATAAAACAATGTTGAAAACGAAGTCAAATAATGACACTACGGCTTGGTTAGAACTTGTTCTAGCATTAGAGTTTTGGTCGGAATAACAAAGTTAAAAAATCTGTGACAAATTAATAATATATGGCCAATCATAATTATCATTTCATCTGACTAATAAAAATTCGCACGTGACTCTGCCCCACTTTAGCCATCCCCTTATTTGGGTTATTAGTTATGTTGTGTTTATTTGTGGCTGTTGTGTTTGTATTGATGTATCTACTCTCAGTAGTTGTTGTTCATAGGGTTTGGTTTAGTCCAGTTCTTGAAGTGTTGTTTGATTTCTTTTTTAATTTTTAG